GTCCAGTTCAGATCCTAGAACTGCATGTATGAAATTAACATTTTTTTGCCCCAACACACATCACTTTGCACTTCTTTACATTGAACTGCATTTGTCATTTTACCACCAATTTACTCAACTTGCAGAGGCTCTTGAGCACAGAATTTATTGCTTGTGTCCATAAAGCTGTCCAGAATCCATGGGTCTTTGCTTGGATATTCATGTTAAAATTATGTTCATTCTGTTAGATGAAAAAACCTTTAAATTTGGCAGTACCTGGGCTGCTCATGAGCTCACCACTTCATAAATAACATTTTGTAATCAGAGTCCAGGATTCCAACCCCCCCCCCCAACTCCAAAATGCCCCCTTCTTTCTCCCAGGCTTCTGGCTCAACTCTAACCCTCAGTCATGATGTCAGAGAAAGTAGCAGGCGCCAATCGCTACCACATGTTCGTTGCTTCATCAGCCCAGAAAAACAGCAACAGAAGAGGCAGCTGCCCAAAGGACATGGTCCTCAAAGCGTTTCGAGAACGCTCTTTTGTTAAGGGAAAACCTGGATGCTTCTTGATAAAAACTGCTTGGGGAAATTTTTTCTACTCCAGCTCAACAAAACATGCTGCTTGAATGGTTTCCTCAAAAAATGTTGAGAACCATATCTATTTGCTGCTGTTCTTGGCTTTTTCTACAGCTGTTATTGATCTTCTCTACTTGTGCAACTGGCTTATTTCACCCGAGTCAAGAGAGTTGGCAGAGGTCCTCACAGCATCTTTCTGTCCTTGCCTGTAATCTGTTCTGGGGAATGAGGAACGCATCCCATTAAAGTCAGACCATGGCAACTATGAGACCCCTGATCACTCACACACCTATGGATGAGACAGTTATAGTGCCTGGACTCTTATGGGGAAAAGCCAATTGCCCCTTCATGCTGGTGGGTGGAAGGTCAGAGAAGAACAAAGTAGTGGCAATCCACGGGCAACACTGGAAGGAAGGAAAAATGTTTCCCTTTGATGTGCAAAAAGAAACAAATCTGCCTGGAAGTGCCAAATGTTCCATCATCAACATCATAACTTATCTGTACGCCACTTTTCCATAGTAAACTATGGCCAAGGCAGTTTGCAAGGAAAAAATTACATAATTCACTAAGTTATGAAATGTAACAAAATTTAAGTGTTAATGAAAGCATCTCAAAAAATATTCAATAAAATTAAATAAACCCCTTATAATGAATAATGTCTTACAACAAAATACAAAAGCAGAATCACAAGAACAGAAAAAAATAACATACAACCAGCGTTAAATCTTGGGCCTAACAGAAGCCCATAAAACATTACCACCACTACCACCCCCCACGATTGTCTCCAGGCGTCCTGAGCAGGATGTCTTGCAGCACCCACAGGTCAAGGGTCTCTTGGGTACTTTCCGCTGAAGCAGCTATGAGTGACCCGGTCTTCTTGCTGGCCAGATGGAAAAAGACCAGCAGAGATGGAGGAGGAGGAGAAAGGGAAGGGGATGGAGGAAGACCCCAGAGAAGGGTCATTGCTCAGTGTGGCAGTAGACGAGTCCTGGAGGTGATCTTCCCAGCAGCCGCTGAAATTCTCATTCCCCGGTTGCAAACAGCTCCCCTTTGCATGCTTTTGAGTGCACACATGCAGCACACATGTATGTGAGAAATACTGTATAGTTGATTATTTTATTTAAAGATTTTTTAAATCTCACTCTTCGACCAAAAAGGGCTCCCAGAGTGGCTTACAGATCAACAAACAAACACCAGTTCCTGTCCTTAAGGACACAACATAAGCAAAGGCGGAGGGAGAGAGGGAGAAAAGCAAAGTCAAGCACCAGTTCTCAGTTACGAAGTAGACATGGACCAGCTGGGATAGGTCAGTTCAGACACAGAAAAGTAGCCAAATCTCTAAGTAGAACCAGTGGAGTGGCCTTGCTTCCCTTCATTCCCTTTCTTCTGCAGCCTGGCAGAATGGCTGCCACTAGGCGATGAGAGAGAGCCAAAGGCAGCTGTTCTCTCAGCAGAGCCAGCAAAGTAGCCCTGCTTCCCATCTCTCACACTGCTGCAACCTGACAGAGTGGATGCTATTGGGTAATGGCTGAGGAAGAGCCAGAGACCTAGAATCTCAGCAGAGTCAGTGGAGAAGCAGCCCTCCTTCTGTTCTCTCCCTCTGTCACAACCTAATGCAATGGCATCATTCACCCTTGCAAGTCATCTGCCCCCATTTGTGAGCCAGACTAAAGTTCTTAATGAAAGGCTTTTGGGATGGGAGTGGTACGGAATTGCAACAGAAGTGGGGAAAGGGGGAATCAGCAGTACTTTATGTGCAGATCCTGGTTTATGCAGCTCTTCTCCCTTGGGGCATTACAGAAGTGATACTAACTCTCCTCTCCCCTCCATCCCCAATGTGAATTTTGATTATTTGGACCCGGAAAGGGGCCAGATCTAAAGAAATACAAACCCGCCTTTTGCAGACCCGCAAATGGTTTGTTTTAACAGCTTGGGTTGAATCGCCTTCCCCTTTGGTATCTCCAGTCTGGCAGTAACGGGCTCGCTGAGTGTTTGCCTAATGGTTAACATCCTTTCCTTATTAAGCAAAACATTTGAAGTGATTATAGTTTATTTACAACCAAAGTGGGCTTAAATGAGATCTAATTCCTCTCCCTTCTCCGCTGTTGGGCCTTCAGCCAGCCCACATGCAGCTGCCTTTGGGCAAGGAGCAAGACTGCGAAGGAAGGAGCAGCCAGGATGCCTCCACCTTGTGGCAGGCTGTGAGAAAGCACCTCATGGGCATGTGTAGCATCAGAAATCCTGCACAAACCAAGGCTTCGTTCTCCGTCTCCCCCAATGGCTTTCTGGTGGGACTCAGTCAAACAAGGAGCATCGCCTATTTCAGTACTCTGGTGGGTTGGGCGCTCCTGCCAGGGAGGAAGGGGGAGAGATGGGCAGAACAGAAAGGAAGCTCAGCTCACCACACAAATGTCCCTGGTCAAAACGGAACCATTCTCCTTCTGCACACCAAAAATGCAAAGGACCTTCCCAGTCTAGAACCAGCAACTGCACTTAAAGAGAATCAATAGCAGGTGCTGGAAAAGGCCTCCCTCTGCCCAAGTCCTTGAGGGTCTGCTGCTGCCGCCACCAGAGTAAAGAAAACTAACCTAGATGGTCTTATTCACAGTAAGGCAGCTTAATCGTCTCATTTATCCAAGAAGGTGGCTTAGAGTAGCTCTTTGGGGTTCCTTTATTCTGAGGCAGGCATCCCCAACCTGCGGCCCTCCAGATGTTTTGGCTTACAACTCCCACAATCCCTAGCTAACAGGACCAGTGGTCAGGGATGATGGGAATTGTAGTCTAAAACATCTGGCGGGTTGAAGGTTAGGGATGGCTGTTCTGAGGGGTCCATTTAAAATCCCATCTTCCCAGCTGGCCCTTTCCAACCACATTTTGGCATTTTCAGAAGGACAGAATAGTTGCATCAGCCCACTGCCGCAAAAAGCAACAAAGTGCCTTCTTACGGCATATAGAGGCTTACACCATAATTAATTAGCGAGTCTCTAAGGTGCCACAAGACTCTGTTGTTTTTATAAGATTCCATTTGTCTTTAATTATTTGACCTTCAACATATGTCCCCTGATGGGATAATTCTATTAAGTTCTCTGATGTGAAGGGGTCGTACGAGCGGAACCTGATGGTTCTATTTCAGCGCCACAAGTTGTGTGTTTTGCTCTGTAACGAATTCCAACCGCTTCTCAACGTCCATCTCAGCCTAATGTGTGTGACGGTTTTGGGTTACTGCCTCGGAAAGGCGCACCGCCCTGCCTAATTGGTTTCAGGTCCGCAGCTGGGTGCAGTCTGAGACGGGCTTGGCTTTTGCTCTGCTGGGGTGAGTGGCACCTCTCAGGCAACCTCCACTCCCCAAAAGGCCCTCCAGTAGAAATCACAAATGATTCCTTCGGTGACATCGCCCCAGAGCGATTTTGTGGGGTGGGGGTGGGGTACGATCCAGAAATGTGAGTTGTGGGCTTGGCCCCAGAAATGTGACAAAGCTGCCATTTCCATGCACTGCTGGCAAGATGTGATAAACCCTGCCAGATCCACCAAAGCAAATGAGAACGCAAGCTAAGCATGTTTGCGACTATGACACAGCCATGTTCACAACTGGCCTGAAGGACATATTTCTGCAGGATGCGTGAAGATGGACAGAAAGCATTGGGGGCAGATAGAAAGAGAAGCCCCGTTTCCCAAACTTGGGTCTCCAGCTGTTTTTGGACTACAGTTCCCATCATCCGTGACCACTGGTCCTGCTAGCTAGGAATGATGGGAGTTGTAGTCCAAAAGCAGCTGGAGACCCAAGTTTGGGAAACTCTGCTCTAGCTTCAGAGTCTGCAGACCCTCCAACTTCAACAGCCACTTCTTGCATTCTTCAGCTTCTTGTTGTCTTTGCTGCAACAGGCTGCTCTTCTGGCTGATTTATTTGGAGGCCACATGGAAAAGAGAAAGTGCAGCCAAGTGTAGACTCAGCCGGTGGGAGATCTGATGCTCTGAGCACAAGAGGCAGAAGCACAGCTTGTCGCTTCAACAGCCGCAACACCAAATGCAGGGAAACTCCTCTACAACTCCTTGCAGCAGCTGTGCAGGATGCTCTTGGGCTGCCTTCCTGTGTGTTGCCTCAAACCCATCCATCACCATTTCCAGCCAGAAACACTACATTAGTAGAGCCGTGCAATGTTAACAGTGACAGGTGTTTTGTGGGTAACAAGCACAAGCACCAGATGACTGTAGGAATGCACAGCTTTGATGCAGATTGCCCAGATGGGAGGGATCAAAGGCACCTGCTGGTCACGTGTCCTGCGGGAGCCCTGCACTGCTCACTCCTGGAGGCAGCAAGGGTGTGTTTGTGCGAGATGGTAAACCTTCTGCTGCCATCACCCACTCCAAGCTGCCTAGTGTATTTTAAGTATTATCATATGCGACGATAAAAATGCATTTGGTAAAAAGAAAAGAGATGGAAAATGCAGTAAAGGAGGACCAGGAGCTAAAAGCACTGGACTATTTAATTTTAAGAAGTTTTTAGGAGCCTTTTAAGAAATGCAAAAAGAGAAACAAGCACAGAGGAGGTAGAATAAAACCAGGGTGAGTTTAAAATGCTATTGTAATGACTTTCATCCCAGCTTTCAAGACATCTCACAATAAAGTGTTATAAATAATAAAATAAACCAATTATATTTGAAGACAGGTGATTTTTCCCGTTGCACAGAGGTGGTATCTTCCTCTAACAGGTGTGCAGCAGGGCTGTTTAAAATACCAGAGTATGAAATGAGGAACGACCACTCACCTAATATGCCAAATAAGAGAGGCAAAGAGTTTTGCTTCGCCCTAGCCGCTCCCTCTGTAGGAAGGTCTGCAAGCGCCCTCAAGTGGACACACAGCATGCAGGGAAGCAGTAAGAACTCAATCACATTTTGTTATACAGTCACAAACACTTTAAAAACTGAATAGTTTCCTTCCATAGATACAGTGATGCCACAGTATAGAAATGGGAATATTACCAACCTTCTTCACAGGACTGTTGGGACAGGATACTTTGCAATTTAACAGTACCACTGAAGTAATACGTACAAAACTAATTTACAGTAGCTGACTGCTCAAGCCTGCTTCTCGAGGGGAACGGCACTTCCACCAAAAGTGGGGGAAAGCTGTGGGAGGGATAAGGCACAACCCTTTTCATCTTCACTCCTAACAACTGCAAGGCAATTCCTGAAACTCCAAAGGGAGTTCATTCAGTCCAGCATCCTGTTCTCACAGTGACCAACCAGATGCCCACAGGAAGCGCCAAAGCAGGACCTGCATGCAATAGCACCCTTCCCACTTGTGATTCTAGCAACTGGTATTCAGAGCAATAGTGCGTCTGACAGTAGAGGTAAAACATAACCATCATGGCTAGGAGACATGGATTGTCTAATTCTCTTTTACAGCTATCCAATTTGGTGGCCATTACTACATCTTATGGCAATGAATTCCATAGTTTAACTATATGCTGTGTGAAGTACTTTCTTTTTCCATCCTGAATCTTCCAACATTCAGCTTTGTTGGATGGTCCCAAGTTCCCCCAGACCCCTTAGTTGCCTTTTTTCCAAACTAAAATGCCCCAAATATTGTAACTGTTCCTCATAGGGCCGCTGTTACATCCCCTTGATCATTATGGTAGCCTTTTTCTGAACCTTTTCCATTTCTGCATTTCTGCATATGGTGCAGTTGCCCCATAGATTTTTATAACAGCATTGCTATATTGACCTTCCAATTCCTTCTATCTTAGACATTCTTCCCCATCTGTTGAATTTGATAGCACTGTGGTCACTGTTCCAAATCAGTTCACCAACACTTACATTTTAGACCCATTTCTGAGCACCACTTAAATGATGCACATTACTTCTCCTCTGTTTGGTGCCATGACCAACTGTCATTAGAGTATGTAGAAATGTTGCCTCTTTGTTGTGGCTAAATACAAATTCAGCCAGGCTACGTGAATCTATTCCTGGAAAAAGGGGCACCTGGCTGATCTTCTGGAGAAACTACCCCACAGACCCTCACCCAGGCTATGCTTCTTGCAGCTGCTCCACTCTGGACAGCTACAGGCACAACAGGAAAAGGGACATTTTGCACTCCAAGGGTGCAACATCAAGTTTAATTTACAGAGACGCCTACCAGAAATGGTGGCATGTGGCTCAATAAGGAACGATCCCCAGCTACTGGTTCACATACACCTCATTTCAAATCTGAGGGCCAGCACCAGCCCAGGTCTTCACACAGAGCAGGATCTGGAATTGTGCATCTTCTGATTGCGGGGCTGGGAAGCTCCATCCGAACAAAAAGCAGCCGTATTTAAGGTCTGGGCCTCTTCACATGGTGGTGAGCTGTCCTGGGAAAGCTGGCCTCTCTTGGGAAGATGAGCAAGTTCCATGTCCTCACACAGCTTCCAGAAAGTAGGAGACCTTCAGCAACACTTCTGAGAGACAGACCAGAAGAGGGCTCTTTGTGAGGAACAGGTCATGGGTAAAACTTCAAAGCAGGGATACTGCAGGTGCAAAGCACTGTCGTTTTCTATAGGCCAATATTGGTTTAGTTGTGCACCTGTTCACAGATGATGGGCCTGTTGGTGGCTATTTGCCAGTGGCTAAGACTTTCCCGTCAAAATCTTACCTCTGCCATGAACCCTTGCCCTGCATCAGCACTAGCGCACTGCCTTATGTGGCAGGAATGGTGTAAGGATCACAACAAGGCGGTGTACGTGAAGGTGCACTGAACACTCTCCCAGTATTAACATTTAAGATACCCAAACATGAAGCCTCCATATTCATGATACTATACCTCTATCCAGCTACTAGAAGCTGAGGGTTTGTGTTTGCTATTGATCCCACCTCATCGCCAAAGACATGTTCCACATTGGTGTCATTACCTTCTGCTGTGTTTTGGAGGCCCTGCTGTAGCACCTGCTCCCAGGCCTTTGGAAGAGCTTGCATCTCCATCAGGTTCGTGTAGCTGACCTGAAGGAGGAGAAACTTGAGCCCCAAGTATCTTTTCAGGTGTTAAGGACAGATAAGCAGCCAGCTCAAAGTGGAATGACAGAGACTCATTTCCACTCACCCTGCTCCATGAAAACGGGGAAAGCCCAAAGGGGCTCAGTCAAAGGAGGTGGCACAATAACTTCAAGCTACACAAATCAGAGGGGCAAATGAGAGCAGCCCAGCACAGGATTATTTGGTAAATTTACATCTTGCCAGATGCTCTCAACAGGAGCTTTTCAGGGGCGATGAGAAGAGCTGAACTCCATGGAAGGAAAGGAGAGTGTTCCTGGGGGCAGAGGGCTTGAAACCTGCGTCCTCCACACTTGCACAGCTTGAAAAGTTGTGGGAGAATGGCCTTGGGGCTGGGGCCCTGCAACTCTCACAAGTGACAACTGAATCAACAGTGAGGCATCTTATCCAGAGCTGGAGGCAACAAGGATTCTGGTGTGCTAACGTTGTTTTCTTTTACTGGCTTGTGTTTCAGTGTTTATTGCTAAACTGAACTGTTAGCTATCTTGGGGGTCTTTTTCAAGACAGACATAAAGGCTGCATAGATAAGTATTTTAATAAAGGTCTGTTTCTGGAGAACAGGAGGACCTTGCAGATGCATAACTCTTTCAAAGGATACACACGGTGGTAAAATTCTTCAACATCCAGAAGCCACTCCAGCATGTCCGCCAATGAGGGGCACGATGCAGAACGCTGGAAGGTTGTCTCCAGGCTTAGGCCATCTCTTGGCTGCTCACAGAGCCGGAAAACACTGTCCACACGGACCCCAACAGTATCCCTCACTTTCTGGAGCTCCATTCTACACAAAACAAAGACCACTCATGTCACACTCTGGGGTGGTTTCCATAGAGATCAATCACCCAGAGAAACTACTGGTTCATTTTAAGTGTGCTAATACTGGCTTTCATCATACATTGTTACATTCTCTCTTATTTGCACTTCCGCCATATTGTCTGAAGGGCCTTGCACAAGTTTAAGACGGGGTGAGAATCTGGCTTGCACATCTCTGCTGCCCAAGCTCAGGTTGGAGGTGAGAAATTTTTGGCTGATTCTCTAAAACAGGCATAGGCAAACTTGGCCCTTCAGATGTTTGGGACTACAACTCCCATCATCCCTAGCTAACAGGACCAGTGCTCAGGGATGGTGGGAATTGTAGTCTCAAAACATCTGGAAGGCCGAGTTTGCCTATGCCTGCTCTAAAAGCTGTGTAGACAACTTAAGCAAAAGACAAACATTGCTAATTTGAACAAAGGTCTTACCTAAATTCAACCTGTTGCAATGGGAACGGTGAGCTGAGCTTGGGCAGCTCACTAGGAACTGCCACAAAGCTCACTGGGTAGAGCCAAGGGAAGCCAGACTGAGCTACCCCATGTGGGCTGCTGTTATGAAAATAAGTAAAAGCATGAAACTCCTTTTTTTAACTGGGAAAGTGCTACATAAATAACTGATTGGAGCCAAACAAAGTCAGCTGAACTTACTTGATTTCAATGGGAATTAAGTTCAATTAACTTAAGATCTGGCTCCAACCCAAATAAATTTAGATGTACTTTTAAGATGCCATAGTTGTAAGTTATAGAGTAATAATATAGAATTCTTCATGCCTGCAAAAAACTGTCAGCTGCCAAATAATTTTGACGGGAACTTTTTTCACACTGTGAATGACCCAGAGAGCTGCAATTCCCACTCCCTTCTGCCCTACCCACAATGCAAAGCAGATGCCCTTACAGGTGGTCCTGCTGCAGCACCTCCAGCAAAGCCTCCATGGCACATTGCTGCTTGTGCCTCAGCCTCTCTGGCAGATCTGGGAAGTCTCGCAGGGGGGTGTTGGCAAAGGAGACCTTCTGGGAGGCCTGCATCTGCTCAGCCAGGTTGGCCAAGGAACTGAGAAGAGGTGTGCAGGCAGCTAGCACTCTCTTCCAAGCCTCGTGTTGCTGCTGGAGAGCACAGAAACACTCCTGCAGGGCACCGTGAATGGTGTGCAGGGAACTGGAGCCCCCAGAAGCCATCCTGGAAACAAAACACAGAAGTCAGGTCAAGAAGCAGCCCAGGTAACAAGACTCCGGCAACACCAGGCTTGGCTCAACCTGCCCTTCCCCTCACTTGGCTTGTCACACATCTGCATCAAAAACAAAGCAGAGATTTCCTTTTGCAGAGCATCAAACATGTTTGCAGGACTCAAAACAAGTTAGTTAAGTCATAGCAGTAGGCTGAATCAAAACTGAATCAAAACCATACACATACAAATACACACACTACTGTGTATCATTTTTTTAAAAGAATACCTGGTTTAAAATGAAATCCTAGTTTAATACAACACCAGGAGGGTGCCAACTATGTCCCTCATCCCTCAGAGTTTAGGTAAAGCTTTGAGGAGAACAAACCCATCTTCCCTGCCTTTTTCTAGAAGGGCTGAAGGTTGCTAGCTGGGATTTCCTCATGCTATCATTAACCGAATTAATAAACGGATTCTGATTTTTCATTTTTTTTAAATTTCCTTCTCAAGTCCTATAGCCGACTGGATTTGCTAGGTGAACTTCTCAGCCACAGTCTATCATGCCAGTCATTTACAGTGCATTTTAATACTGTTTTCTGAAGCAATGCTAGCACAGCCTTACTGCTACAAGCAGATAACGCTCCATCACCAAGCTATCCTCATCGGTACTTTTCAGGGCCAGCTCTGGATTTCATGGCCTCCATGAAAAGCCTCACATTGCCATCTGCCCATTCCAACATACACTTGATTTAGCAGGGAGAGGGATGGTGAGGATATAGGAAGGATGATGGTAACCCTGTTGTCATGGCCAGAACATATGAACTTTGGGCAGCAGACCCACTCTGCAGGGGTTGCAGAGCAATTCTATGATCTGCCCCCAGAGATTAATGGAACCTAGTAGATTCCTGAATGCTCGGCAGGCTGGGACGGTGCAGGTTTCCCGTGGATGGAGTTGGTGATACAGTCAAAGCCTGGGTCTCACTGTGGGGTGGTGCAGTGAGATGGGATATTGACACGATTGCTCCCAGGAGTCCCCTCTGATGTTGCATCTTGTTTACTGAGCTGCAGCGGCTGGTAGATGACCAGAGTGCAGGTGGCAGGAAACTTGTACTAAAGCTGACCAAGTGCTTGGTAGTTTACATAATTCTGCCTACCAAGAAGTGCTGAAGGCAGGAAAGAATGACAACTTTGCCACCTCCACTGAAGAGCCACCCAGCAGTCACTTTAGGTGTCAGGACGCTGATCATACCAGAAGTGTTGGGTGGGCCTCTAGAGCATTCAGTGTTTGCATGACACTCTAAGAATAAAGTTGATCAGCTTTGTAGCCTTGGATGCTGAAAGTGTCATAACCCCATGCAGCACACTCCCAAATTAAAGCGAATGATTTCCCTTTATGCTATCCAGCAGAAACAGGAGGACTTTTTCCACAGTGGCTGCCAAGGCTTGAAACACTCTGCCCCGGAAGGTCCACACACAGAAGGTCCTCCTCCTTCCACAGGCTGGCAAAACCCCCTCTGATCCCAATCAGGCATTTGGGGGAGCAGCAGAGATGCCAGGCACCGCCCAGCTAGTGTCCAGAGAATTGCATCCTTAATGTTGCTCTTGTTTTATTTATTTTGAATCCCTGGTGCAAATTCATATAATTTATAATTTTCAAGACTTCTGGGCATGTTATTCCTCACCAGCACCTGCCTAGAAATTCTTACGAGGCTGATAGGAGGATTTAAATACCGAAAATATTCGGCATTTTGTAGGTGAAGCTGACACGGCTCCCTCCGCCCCAAGATGGCACAGGAAGCGCTTTGCCTTCCTTGGACGGAGGTGGTGTTGGTGAGCAGGGACAATACAGCTTTCCTGACCCTGCTTCTCTCCGGCACAAAAGCCTATTGCTGCCAGGCAAGGACCTACCTCAGCCCTTCCTCGCCGGCGCTACGCGAGTGCGGCTCGGGCCTTGGACTCCGCTGGGTGGGGAGTGGGGTGTGCTGGGAAATGTAGTCCCTTCTCTCTTTCAATCTGCGCTTGCGCGCTTTGCCTCCTCCCGCCGAGTTTCCATTGGTCCAACTCACTCTCCCGCGCCTCTGATTGGCTGGTTGCTCCGAAGCTGATGGGAAGGTGCTGGGCTGAACGGGCTTTTCGCGCGCCGCTTTCTTTCTCGGTTGCCATGGTGACACAGCAGCTGCGAGGCGACTATTGCCTGGCGACGCAGACCACACTTCCTTGGAGCATGTGCAGAGCGCTCCTTTCCTCCCTCTTTCAAGGCCAGGTTTGTAAATTGCTCGAAGTGAATAAATGGATCCAGCAGCAGCATCCCAGGCTATGATTCCTACTCCTGCAATGGGACCCCCAAAGCAGGCGGCCCAGACTTGGGGATCCGCCCACAGCACCTCCACCCGTTGCCAGGATTCAGAATCTACCTGTTGGGCCGCATTCAACCCACTACAAAGCCCAGGCCCTGGGCCAGGTTTCTCTGGGCCACTCCTGACACCCATGCTGCAGCGAAACAGAGCTGGGCATCACTAGGGAACTCCTGCCCCTCGTTGTGAACATTCTCCATGTTTCTCAAGACTTGTGTACTGATGCAACAACAGAGCATTAGCGGCATCTTTATACTGGACCATCCACATGCCATTCTACGGTATTGTGTGTTTTGCAATGCGGCCCCAAATGTTGCCACATTAATGCCCTCAGAAATGGGACTCTTGCACTATCACCCAACAAAAGTGGGGCATTCATAGTGTAGCCTTATGAGGCTTTGCCCTCGGGTGCAACCGGCAGCGCTTCACGACTTCGACCGGGGCCCAGCAGCACCCTTTTTGCTGCTTTTCTGGGCAACACCAAAACCAGTGGCACTTCTTCTACCCTGCTGGCAGAGCTGATCAAACTCTCTTTTTGCTCGCACCTATCCCTGTGGAGCTTGCTCCCACCTATACCCTGTGGAGCTTACCTTTTTCCTCGAGGTACCTTCTTTCGGCCGTTGCTTTTTCTCCGGTCCTTGCAGTGTGTCCACTCAGGAACGGGTGGCAATTCCTCCCACGAACTTGGCAGGATGTGCACTGGAACTGCTGACACGAACCGAGCTGTTCACTGCAGGGACGCCTTGGACCCACATCCCTTATCCTCAGGGAATCTGTTTTTCCCGGCCAACGCACCGAGAAATGTAGCCTTATGAGGCTTTGCCCTCGGGTGGGAAAAATATTGCACCTGGGAAAGGGAAGTGGGAGTCAACAGACACTCAAGGAATAGTTTCGGAGAAAAGGCTTTTATTTCTACCATCCATGAACTGGTAGAAGGAGCAAGTGTGATAGTCCACAAAAGCATGCACAAAGTTCACAGTCATGTGCACAAGCATATATACCCCTTTCCAGTTCCCTCCTCCTTTCTCCTCCCTCAGGAGTCCTGCCCCATGATGTGTTCCCCTGAGCATGTACAGAAAGCTGTCTTGGAACTATTGTGGACTCTTGGCAGGAAAGGGGGTGAGGGGGTTTTCAGAGTGTTCCCGTTGTTTCATTCTTGTGCTTTGGCATGGTTCCCGGAGACAAAGCAAGTTGCAATGTGGTTCTGAGAAAGGCCTGAGAAGACAATGGCCTCTGTTCTCTACCTTGTTGCAATCTTTTAGTTACAGCAAGCGGAATGTTTCTGATGCTTAGCTAATGCCTTTTAGCTGCTGAGAAAAATGATTTTGAAAAGCTCTGAGAAGCTTTGAGCCTGCTTGGGGGGGGGTGACTTCGGGCCTAGGTGGGGTCACCTGTCCTCCCCTTCCTTCAATAGTATAAAAAGTAATAGGATTTCAGCAAGAGATTACAGGACCCGCACTGACTGGGAACGAGGCAGTACGTTCACTCTGAAAGGTCTGCAGGTGCAGTTTTGAAAGTGGGATTCTGTATAGCTGTCAGATACCATCATGAGCCATTGCTCTCATCCTCCTAATATCACAGATCTGCATTCTTGTCAGTAAAGCCAGTCACCCTCCTCCCTCCCTTCATTCCACTGGGTGGGGAAGGATGAAATCTCATAGATTCAGAGTTCACATCTTTCTACCCAGATGAATTGTCCCAGGCACATCTAGAATTAGCCTGATCCCCCTACCTTGCAGTCTTGATAACAGTTAGTCTTTGGGAGTCCAAAGAGCTGAGTCTGTTGTTCTAGATGTTGGTTCGTGGTGCAAATAGCTGTGAACCACTGGCTCACCTAGTTCAGTCTTGTCTACACTACATGGCAGCAGTTTTGACCAGCTCTGTCAGGAAACATTAAGGATTGAGTCTAGAACCTTCTGCATGAAGAGAAGCCAAAAGCCTTCCTTTGGCTCCAGAGTTTGCCTCCCTCTCCATTTCCATAATACTTGCACGTTGATAGCAGGAACAGCAAGAACCTGGAAGCCTAATTCCTGCTGCAGAATAAACAAGCATGTGGGTGAGCAAACTGAGGAGGTGTGACTGTATCTAGACAACAGGAATATGATAATGTTATTAATGGAGGAAAATGCATCCAGCTAAACCCAATCTAGACTGTTTCCTTGCCATTCCAATGTATAAGCAATGCATGCACTTTGCCATATGTCTTTTTGTGGCTCCGGAATTCATGATGGGAACTGAAACACTTAATCTTCCAAACATAATGAGAAAGATAAGGAGCTGTGGCTGACACTGAGCACCAAACAGCCACCTTCGGTAAGATAATGACTTCAATTGTTGCCTCTCTGCAGAGCACCATGATGGATGTGTACATTGGCTGCAGAGCTATTTCGGATATGGCACAAAGTGAGCATTTATCATTGCAAGCAACTGTTGGGGCGGAGCAAGCAGCCTCCTGGAGCTTGTGCCATTAAGCACACTCCCATGCAGCTGTTTCTTGTGATGTGCTCAGAGCTTCTTCCCTCTGACCTGTTGAGGGGCCTTTGGAAAAGCTAACAAACACAGTTCATGAGAGAATTTAGTTCTGCTCTTGTGCCAGGAGACTGTTTTCCAATGTGATCCGGGCTTCATTGCAAAGAACAGGCTGCTGTCAGTCTAATTAAAGCTAGTCCAGAGCTGGCACTTTTTAGCCAAAATATAAGACACCCAAGGTGGGTTAAGATTCAGATCATTTAGTATTCAAGGAAGCAAAGGATATGATAGCAGAAACTTTCCATGAATTATTTTTATCGAGAAAAATACCACAAAGTAGCAATTAACAGTAAGCCAGGGAAGGCTTCCCAGGGAGAGAGAAAGAGGACTTCAGAGTGAGTCCATGGCAGAGTTGCCCAGGATGACTTCACTGTAGCATAAATATTACCAGCTTAAAACTCAGCAGGCTTGTTCTTTTTCTCAATTTGAATCTAAGCTGATTGCATCAAAACACAGTATTTTCTAAGATACAGGATAGCTATGGATTGTGACTAAAGTGTGTACCCCACTTCCCAAACCAACAGTGGGAATGCACTGGATGCAGAGTAAGCAGGAGTGTGTACACAGCCTTAGAAAGGTAAGGAGAGAGGTTCAATGAGAAAGAAGGGAGAATTATTCCTTCTCTCATACATCCTTCCATGCTGTGTCAGGCACACCAGAGGAGGTGGTGATTCAAGAGAGCGCAAGGATGGACACCACCTGGGAGTTCAAGAATTCTAGGGAGGGAAAAGACAGGAGAAACTGGGGGAGGGAGTTGAAGCCTGGGGGGAACTGGCGGAGAGACAGAACTGTTTTGAGGGCATGGGCAGAGTTGGGGATTTTAGCATGCGAGGGCATATTAGACTTGGAGGGTGGGGGAGGCTTATTGCACAAAGGGAAGTGTCCTGGGAAAGCAATTTTTGAGATATGCCCCAAAGGAGAGGCCTCTGTTTAATAAAAGAAAAAAAAGGGTTTAGGCTACAGTGGGGGTTTTACAGGACTTGTTGCATATCACCCTTCTCAGCATTCCCAGTGACCAATCAGTGGGTAAAGATTTGATTAGAACTAGAGGAAGTTGTGCATTCGTGATCTCGAGAGGTCCCAAACAAGCTGACTAGATGAGTTACTCCTCTCTCCATGGCAATAGAGAGTTTCCGTTGCTCTTTGTAGTCAGATCCTTCCTAGCTCACCTTTACAGGTAAAAAAATAAACTATGGAGGCAAGGTGCTTGCTAGGGAACACATAAAATGGTGAAGGATTCTTGCTCTTGGGAAACACTGCATTAACAGCCATGCATGTGTCTTTCAGCTAATTCAAGCATACTGTATTTTATTATATTTTATTATTGCATTTATATCCCACATTTCTTCCAAGGAGCTCAAGGTGGTGTGCAGAGTTCTCCGTCCCATATTACCCTCACAACAACCCTGTGAGGTAGGTTAGGTTGAGAGACAAGTGACTGGCCCAAGGTCACCCAAACTCCCCATCTGGTGAGGTGAACAGGAATCAAGTGATTCAATTTCTTGCTCTAAAATATATTATTCTCTAGATCAAACAAAAAGATTCAAGTTGCACAGTCTCAGAGAGATGGTGCCTCATAAAGGGAAGGTAGTCTTTCCACAGAGGATCTGGACCAACTGGCTGGCAAGGCAGGTGAGAACCACCCACTTGTCTTTCAAGTCCAGCAGGCACTAATATTTTCAGTAGCCAAGAGTGGAGCCAATGATTAGGGCATGTACTTGGTTGGCTTGCCCAAAAGAGCAGGTCTTCTCCTTCCCAACGTTCATCAGCTCTTCCTGTATTCTTCCAGAAGAAGGGACAGCTCTGAGTTTCTGCATTGCTCAGAGTTCTCACCTGCAGCTTCCCTTGAGTCTGAAGCCTCTATAGCTTGTGTGTATTGGGCTGAAGAGTGTGGGAAAATGATTGCTTGTACATGAGAGCATGAGCAAAGTTCTTATTGTTACAGGGTGAGCTCAGGAGTTCGGGGCTGCTGTGGGCTATGCCGATCGGGTGTCCGCACTAAGTTCGGCATCAATATGGCGAGCCCCGGGGAGCCGAGGCGCGCCAGGTTGCCCAAGGAGGGGTGAACCGGCCCAGGTCGGAAACGGAGCAGTACATGAGGCTTATTTACAGCAAATGGGCTCCTGTATCTGCAGAAATAGTTGTGTGACTTCTTCTGGATTGTGGTTTTTACATGCCAATAATCGAGCCACGAAATATCACACAGGTTGCTCGGAAACAGCCATTGGACTAATTTACCATTCTCATCCTTATTGACATCGCTTGGATTTTACCCCCAGATCTCTTCTTCTTTTCTCCCCCCTCAGGATTCCTGCCCTATGATGTATTCCCCTGAGCATGTACAGAGGGCTGTCTTGGAACTATTGTGGACTCTTGGCAAGGGAGG